TGATGAGGAGGCTACCTGGAAGCCCCTCGAGCACTTGCAGCACGCTCGCATGTTGGTGCGTGCCTATGACCGTGCTCGTCGTGCTGGGTTCACTGCTCCTCCTCAGGGTGTATGACTCTGCCCTTTTGGACTTCACCATTGACATGGGCTTTTGGACGGTCTATGGGTGTGGGCACAGTCGCATTTCATGTTCCCTTTTAGTGAGTCTATTTTTTCCTGCGGTTGGGGAGGGGAGGTGGATGAGGGTGTTATCCTATCGTGATTGCGTTCGGTTTGTATATCAGACTACAATATGCATGTCATTCACCTTGTTGCTATCCAGCCTGATCTATGCCCATACATGCACCTGTCAGAAAAGTCAAACCCCTCAAAGCAGGCAATCAACTCAAATAATTTATTGTTTTCATGTGAAGAACTGCGTGGGTAGGGTGCAGAAGTACAGGACAGAACTGGTACCCTGTCTTGTTTTTTTTTTTTTTTTTTTTTTTTTTGTGGAAAACTGGCTCGTGTTGCTCGTGGGAATGATATCAGCAGCTCCCCTTAGTAGCGCCGGCCTGGCAGCTCCTGTCCGTTGGTGGGAACTGACACGTAGCTGGAAACTGGGTCCAGCATCCCTGACACATGTATCTTTCCAACCGCTTTCTGTGTTCCGGTATGTCACCCCATGGGTACCGTCTAGTCTTAGGCCCACTGGGTGATGCTAAATGTCTGACCAATACTCTAAAGCTAACTGGTGGTGAGCGCCTTGCTACGTGCTGAGTTTCCGTTCTCTGGTTTATTCCCGTTCTGCAATCCTTGATGTTGGCGGTCTAGGTTGTGAGCTGCTTGGTTTTGCCGTGAATTCTCTGTTTGCTATACCGGTGAATCGTGGTTGGTTCATATGTTTTCAATCAGGATGCCTCTCCTTAACTCGATCAAGATGCCTCTCCTTGCTTCTTGTGCTGGCTATGTGATCTTCTTCCTTCTGCCGTCCCTGCTGCTGCTCCGCTTGCATCGGTTGCTCCACCCACTGCTCTTTGTGCTTCTCAGGCTATTTGTGGTGATGTTAGGTCTCACTCTGGAATGTGCAGCTGTAAGACAAGCCTCCTCTCTCATATGTCATTCCCGTCCACCCTGCCGCATTTTGATATAGCTGTCGCTTTTGCTGCCTCCCCTCTCTTTTTTTTCCCCCTTCCTTTTCCTGTCCTCCAGAATGTCTGTGTATCGGCATGAACTGCATGTCCATTGGCTCGATGGCGAAATCCATAATCTGCTGCCAAGTATGCCATCCCACGCATGTTGTGGCTGAGACTGTGGGCATCTCTTCCCGAATGGAAGTCAGATTCTCATCTGTTGAGTTGGAAAAAAAACATCATGTGATGATCATCTGACGAGTTCTCCTTCTTCTTCTCGCTCTTTCCCTCCTTGTTGTCCTTCACTTTGCTCACAAGATCCTCAGCATCACTGGCAACAGGAGAGACTCTTTCCCACCGTCCTCCAAGTTCTTTTGAATCTTCCTTTTCAGTGTATTTACCGTCGCTGCCTCACAGGCTCCTCATCTGTATCCTTTGCGGGACCCCCTACGAATGGTCCGCCATCCTTGCGAGGCTTCATGATAGGCTCGAAGAATGAGCCCGGCAAGCCCGCATGCCGGTCATCGTTGTCTTTTGGAACATGCAGTAGTTGCACATTCCACTGGATGTACACTGACAGGCTGCTCCTCCTCCTTTGGAGTGGATGGTGTCCGTTGATGTCCCGTTCCTCTCCACATTAGTTGTAGTGCTCCACAGCGCAATCATCCTGACCAATATAGGGTGCAGCAGCTGAAGAACATCACCATTGCACACCAATCTGAGAGAGTGTGATGTGTGCAATCAGATAGTGCAGTCGGATTCTATATGTTCTCAGATGACCTTGCTGGACCCTTCCTCGTAGAATTCTCTTGGAAATCGTACAGCCATCCCCACATATCAGTGTGCTCCACCTCCTGCTAACCAGCCTTATGAAGAGCCTGATGGCATTTTGGGCATTGACACTGTTGATGTTGTTTAGCGATCTTGCATCCTTCCTGCATGGGTCCAAAAGGATAGCAGAAGCATGAGCAGGCTGCCGCATCATTGCATCCGATCCCTCACCTTCGTCATCACCTACTTGCGTCCATCCCTCATGACTATCGGTGATAGTTTCCTGTCAATGATGTTGTGAAACTCCACCAAATTGATGCGAGTGGTCCCATACCTATCCATCCATTGCAGCAGGCCAAATGTTGATCGTATGATGTCCACCACACTCTTCACTTCTGCTCACCACTGATCTCGTCTCACAGTGAAGTGTAGTATACTAGCGGATCATCCTCTTGGCAGCTTGCCACACATCCACCCTCTCCTTCAACACCCAGCGCCTGTTGTGCAACCTTGTCAGAGAGTTGAACGCAATGCGTGTACGGAATATTGCTTGCACCAATTGAATGTCCAGCTTCCTTTATGCTAGGTTGTCTGCCTGTTTCCTAATGGTGGTCTTCTGCAGAGTCTGGCCAGCTCATGGGGGAGGTGGCATTCAATTTGGAAATCCGCCCCCTCCCCTCCACCCGCCGCGGAATTCTGCAAAGCCTCCAAGAAAAGGCCAGATCTGAGCCACCGATTAGCCAAGTCTGCGGGCTCAAATCTTTTCAGAAAACAAAGTTTGGCCAACCGGTTTCTGGTTAGGCGTGAATTGTTCTTTTATGGAACTCTAGGAGGCCACCAGTGTGCTATTTTGACCATCCCTGGCCTGGCATGTAGAAGTGTGCTTGTGGCCCAAGACCCAACCGGCTGCCAGTGCCTGAACAACAATCTGGGTGAACTTCCCCTCCCCATCCACCTGCCCTGCCCAGGTAACAGCACAGGAAAGAAGCAAACTGCAGGAATCCCAACCATTCGACAATTGTTCAGCGGATAAAGATGCTATTTGATGCAAAGACATTGTATTCCTGTTTTTTTGCTATTGTTCTTGACAGAGCTGGATGTGGGTAATCTTATCTCATGGCACCTTTCTGATTCTGCAATTTTAACCAATTGTCATATCCTGTCCACAGGCAGACCCACGCATTGAACGAAGTGTACGGCGCATGCAGACTGTGGTGGACCTTGCACGCACCATTCGTGAGCGTCACAACCGGCCGTTGAAGACCCCCCTAAAGTATGTGTCATGACAAACTTGTTAGTCTTGCTTTCGGTGGTGCTCTGCGGACATCGCATGGGAACACAATTATAATTTCTTATGAAGTTATCAGCCATCCCTGGAGATTGGAACCACAGTTTGCTCGCTGGCTTGCCTCCTTCACAGAGTTCTATATGGAAAACCATGGATTGTGAAACCGCACTGCAGTATTCAGTTGTACCTCCCTTGTGTCTGATTGGTAGCCTATTAATAAACAGATCATAAAACTGGATGGGTGCAATAATGCTAAGGGCTACTCTGTCCCCTCCACACAGTCCCTCCGAGCCTTTTTCTGCGAACCCAGAGCGGTGCTGCCTGCCAAATGAAAAGAACCGAGGCAGTCGTAAAGTATTTTCTTTTTGTCTGGCATGGCCAGCCTATTGGTCTGGTAGGCCGAGCCCCTCCATTACCTTTCCCAGACAACGTTGATAACAAAAAATGTAGCATTCCGAGTTCTTTGGAGGCTCGGGGCTACCAGACCTGATGGCCAGTGGCACAAGCCTAAATGCAAAAGGAAAGAAAAAAAACACTGCACTGGCGCTTCGGGGCGGGGGGGGGGGGGGGGAATCCTCCTCAGGCCCTGACTTGAATTTAATGAACATGGAGAGAGAACGAAGCCAGTTTGGGTGTTTCTCTTGAGCTGTAGCCCATTAGGAGGTACAAGTTTAGTCTGGAACTATGCTTTTCAGACCGTCAAAAATATCCCTGAGATCCTGGTGGCAGTGGGCGAACCCATGGCTTCTACAATCTGTTTTTTGTGCCGACAAGTGAAACACTAGATGGCCGTCGCTGTAAATAACAGTAGACCTGGTTCTTGGTGAGGGCACTTAGTTAGCACTGAGAAGTCTTCTGCTGAAGACCAGTCTTACAAGGTGACATGGTTACTGTGCATGGTTGATGTGTGACTGACAGAACTGCGAAGATAGGTTCATTGCAACAACGTATGGTACTAGATGTTTGGAGTTCATTACGTAATGTATGTTACTTCCGGAACTCATTTGGAGTGTGTAGCTAATAGCTATTCTTCATGGTTGCAAAAGAGCGCCATGCTATTTCAGCCTTTGCAGGGAAGATCTGAGATGCTTCTGAAATGAGCATTTTGGTTCAGCTGCACAGACCAAGGTAGCTTAATTAGATGTCTTAGAAATACTATTTTGATAGGTTCGCATCTCACTCAGCCTTGCCTCCTTTGCATGGAAGGACGCTTCGTCCTTTTTCTTTTTTAAACGCCTGTGCAGTGTAGTAGCATGGGTGGTATGAGCATCCCGTCCTACTATCCCTGGCAGTCGGCTCTTTTCTATTGGTGGGGATCTGCACCTTGCTGGAAACCGGGTCCAGGGTCCCCATGGCATTTTATACATCATGCTTGAGAGAACCATTGAGAATATCATCTATATCTGATTACCCCCTGGCTCTTCAGCCTTATGTAGGCCGCCTGCTTGGATGTATTGTCTCTGGCTGGATCCCTCCTCCTGTGTGGTTGCTCTTGCTTGCCTCCCCTCTTCTGTCAGTTGACGCCAGTCCATTGCTGGTCGACTACTGATAGCGGTTGTGGAGGGAACAAGTCTGGAATATCTTCTGGCAGGCGTAGTGGGATTGAGGCATCAATCTTTGTCCACTCTCTGAAGTGCAGCTTATAATCCCTTCCTCCTGGCTCCTGGTCTCCTTCCTACCCACCCTCCAAGGGAACAGATGCCATCCATCTGCCTTGTTTGCCCCTTAGCCACATGCTAGTTAAAAAAGCAAACCAGGCTTTTCTTCTGCAAGTGTTAGTGGCCCCAAAATGCTCCTATAGTAAGCTGTCTTGATGGCCTGTGCAATATCTATTAGCTTGCAATGGCATGTAACTTGATGTAAGTGAGAACACGCCCCAAATTGAGCAGTAGAGTTTCCATGATGTGCTGTTGAGTTACTGATAGACATGATGTTGGATAAGTCAGATATGCAGATATGGGAATTTTTTTAGAGCAGCTCTATGGATCCAGTTTTTTATAACGACCGCCAAGGGTTGTAGTGGTTACAAGACTTCGTTCTGGATGCTGAGGGTGCCGGTTCAAGGCCGTGAGTGCATGGCGGGGCCTGATGCCCTAAAAGCACGTTGTTCAGTAACTACTGTGAAGGCGCCTGTGGAACCGGGGGGCAATTTGGCCTGCCTTGGAGCGACCAGGTTAAGTATTGGTGTTGGGGCTGCGTGTTGTCGGAGCGGAGCGTGTTGATTGTCGTGTCCCGTGCTGTGGTGTTGTGTGTGTGTTGTGCGAGTTCAAGGACACTACAGCCCAGGGGTTGGGCTGGATATCACGACCAGTATGGATCCAGTTTTTTATAACACCTCCAGGGGTTGTAGTGGCTACGAGACTTTGTTCTTGAGGCTGAGGGGGGCGGTTCGAGGCCATGCGTGCACGGCGGGGCCTGATGCTAGGGTACTTGATTCTGAGTGTAAGCCATAGCTTTTGCAGATGATTTCCCTGATTTGGGTAACATCTTTGCCATTGTGAGGCTGTAATGACCTCCCATCTGCGCCTTAGGCAGGTAAGCCCTAAGAGAAGACCTGGAAGGTGAAATGCTGGGCCGATTTCTGACAAGGCCGGGCCAGGCCAAGCCAGGGTCGGGACTGAAAAGCCTGGGTCCCGGCAGGCTGCACCTACATCCGGAAAAGACCAGAAGACAATGCCTGCCGGCCTGGAGAGGTAGAAAGGAAGATGCTGCGCACCGTAATACACATTCTAGTCGGGCAGATGCTGCCAGGGTGTTTGAGTGCATGAGCGTGTGAGGAGTGCTAGCTGCCAGCCGGGTCCTGGCCGTCTGCAGCTAGATCTGGAAAAGACCAGAAGACATTGCCTGCCGGAAAGACCGGAAGACATTGCCTGGCGGCCTGGAGAGGTTAAAAGGAAGATGCTGCGCACCCTGACACATTCCAGTTGGGCAGATACTGCCAGGGTGCATGAATGTGTGAGGAGCGCTAGCTGCCAGTGACCGAGAGGGGAGGCAGCACCGGCCATAGCTGGGCGCCTTGAAGTGAGATGTGGCATAAGGAGGGAAGGTCCTTGGATGAAGGGGAAGGCCCTGCCTTGTGGTTGCCATGAAGAGCTACCTGTGGGAGCAGTGTTGAATATGGAAAAGTGTCGGCTAGGAAAGTAGATAAACGAGATCACATGGGTGGGTAGAGAGACCAGCAAGAGCGAAGAACTTATATTGTTGTTCTATTGATTGGTGGGATGAGAGCATCTATTTGTGATTGCCGTTGCTGATGTGGCTTACTTGTCAGCACTATTCGGTGTCTGTAAAGTTGTAAACTGGTGTGTAGTACCTCAGCGTTGACCGTAGCTGATCAGATGATTTCATCAACTGTTTCTGTCAGTGAGTTGTATCAGGTGCGAGTAACAAGCAACATAAGTGCTCATAACCTTTTCTTACCTGTCTGACAGTCTTCTTACCTCGAGGACAAGTGTTTTGCTCGAGTGATGTCTCAATTGTGAGATTCGGGTGGCGTTCGAAGAGTTATTTCAATTGTGGCGGTTGTGGTGGGAGGTAAGCGGCATGTGGAGAGGGCCCTGATGATGACCTGGAGCTCATAATGATGTGGGAGTTGAACTTGCATGCTGGCGCTGCTCATTCTCAGCTTCAGCACACGCAATAGAGGGGTCTTGCTGATTGGCGACGTCATTCTGCTGCAATGTTAAAAACAGTTCTTGAGTGGTAGTCCTACTGCTACCAGTGTTGCACACCCCGACCGTTGGCGACCCTTGACTGGTCCGCTGCTGACCCGCCGACCGGTCGGCTGGTCGGAACCTACTGGTCGGGGTCTTCGGCACCCCGCATTTTTTTTTTGGGGGGGGGAGGTCCAGAACCCCTAATAATATCACCAACACCCCCATAGCAGACCCCAATACCCCATATACCACCCCAACAGCCCCGAACAGCCGCCAACACCCTTATTAAACTCTATAACCCCCTATATCACCCCTATACTCCGGCGCATCGCATGCGCGCGAGCTCCGCACGTGCGGCGCCTAGTGCACGCAACCATGCGCACACACCCCAATAAATAGAGTTAAAAAAAAATTGGGGAGGGCTGGCTGAGGTAGCCAATGGTGCCCCTCCCTTCTAAAATATCAAAGGGCACAGGAAAAAAGATTGAGCATACGGATTCCTTGTTGAATTGTCCTTTTCCCGAAGGACCCCATTTTTTTTTTGTTCCGACTTCACGGCTGTACTGCGCTTGCTGAGTACTGCCCAAATCCGCTGAGAAACTTTGGTTTCGGGGTGGGGGGGTTGGGGGGGTGGGGAAACAAATAGCTCTTTAACATTTATCGGCTACCGCTGACCGGTCGGCCCCGATCGGTCGGTACAATGCGGTCGGCAGTCGGCCCGACCGGTCGGCGGGGATGCAACCCTGACTGCTACGTTAAAAAAGTCTTGAGCCAATGTCCTGCTGCCATCAAATAATCCTTGACACCACAACACACCATGGAGTAATGCTGTCGGTGTAGGCCGTCAGTCAAACCACCACTACTTCCGAACCTCTTTTTGCTGAGGTGGAGTACAACTGCACGCCAAGCTTTTGACGAAGCGTCAGTGTGACCTCTTTTGTTTTGTTTTGGCTGGCGCTGCGAGCCATTTTGGTCCTGTGACACCAGGCCTCCGCCAGCCTCCAAAGAATGCAGTATAGGTTATATTGAATATATTCACAATTTGGCCTCCCTGCCCGAAAGGTAGTGGTGGTTTAAGAAGGGTGGGATTGACAGAGGCAAGACAAGTCATGCACACGGACCGAATAATTGTCAATTTCTGCTTATCATAGTTTTCTTCTGCAGCTGAGTTCATCCCATCACCCACCACATCTTCTCTGTTCACGTCCCACATGCAACGTTGGGCATCCTCCAGGCGCACAGGTACTCGGATCCCCTTCATCCTTGCCAGATGAGGAACAGACTCAACAGCCTGAGGTGGAGAATAGACTCTTCACATGAACCACCTATGGTGCGCCGTGTTGAAAGTTCATTGCCGCGAGGGCGAGCTATTCAGGACTGGATTGTGCAACTGCTAGACACCCTTAGTCTGGATCAGGCCCCATCATCGCCTGCCCTGTGATGGCTCACCCGAGATTCGGCTAGCATGTGACTGGCATGGTTTGTGTTGTCAGGATGATAAAGATATAGCCTATGCCAGTCTTTGTTTTCCTACGTATGATGACAGTCAATATTGTACTTGTGTGTTCAACACCCTAACATGGCATGTCCTATTTGTAGGCGGGATGGAATGGCAATGCCTACACAATTGTAGTTGGTGTGCCTTTGTGTTCGTAGCATGTGGGGGCCACGTAGCCTGTGACATCTTTCTACGCCATGCCATTTGATGCAGCAACTGAGACTTGGACGCGATGCTTCCGCACTCCAAACCCGAACCACTTCTGTCCAATCTGCAGGGGTAGCCTCTTGCCATAGGCAGCTCCTGCTCCTTAACTCAATTTTCTCTGCAACCCCCTGACTGGTCTCTTGTGCCATTCCAGTCT